TATAGGCTAACAGGGCGGCTGTTACGTTCCTTTAGCTAGCATGCGCGTTTCCTGTAGCTTGCGCGGTGAATCGTGCCGCCTGCGCTGTGCGGAGATGCAGGGGAGACCGTATCTGATGGGGAAACGCAGCTCAACGTAGCACCAGTATTTCTGGAAAAAGCTGTTTTGCTGCTGGAGTCCTCCTCACTCTCCATCTCTCTGTGTGTGCTGTACGTTAACACCCACCAGCAGAAACACCCACCTACCCAACTGACAGACGGAATCTCACTATACATCAGCCATTCTCATCCTCCCCTCTTTCGTTGCCAAGGCGCGCACGAGTCCTATCATGAAAAAAAAGGTTAATTGTGTGACCTGAGTAACGCGCAGTAACGGGGTGTCGGCAAAGGTAACTGCGTTATAGTTACAGTCAAAGTAATTAGACAGATTTTTTTGTATCGAGTAATCTAAGTCTAACACGTACTGTATAACTAACTGGCCTGCATAAGATAACAAAAAACCCCACAGATTTTGACACAGGATAAAAAAAAATAAAAAAAAGGATTGTTATAAATATTGGGACAATATGGTCTGATAAAGAGTGCATTTATATACATGTTTAAGCTAGAATCAAATATAATTTCCCCACAACTTTCATATTTGAGTGTTTCTAGGGGGAATTAGGGCATTACCAAAGCTGTACACCCACAAACAGGGGGCAAGGTTTCTATAATATTTAGTAAAGGGCGCATAATGGACGCCTGTCGGCATTGCTTGCTAAAAGCCTGCTTGTCTTTGCCTGCTGATCAGACGTATTTTACTCCAAATAACGTTATCCGTGTTTCATTCACACTCAAACACATTCAGCTGTATCAAGCTTGTTAGCTTTAGCACAGCTAACATACGGACTGCTGAAGCCATTTCCTAAAGCCGTCAGCTAAACCTCTACAGGTGATGTTTTCTTTTCCATGCCACTAGATGGGGCTGACGCACATTTGGCCACCTGTTTTAGAACAAATGGTTATAGGCATTCTGGGTTACTAATTAAGAACCAAGACTTTAGCCTCTTTGGAGCGGAGGTTATAAAATGAGCTCTGCTGATTTCAAAGGTCACTGATGCATTCACCGTTTTTCAGTTTCATCTCAGCTGTGGCCTTTATTGTCTTATCAGCTACAAGCGTTACTAAATAAGGGTGTGAATGTTCAGTTTTCCTGTCAACACTGATTCAGGATGGTCATGCAGCTTGAAGGAACGTTTAACAAAGCAGCTGTTTGGAGCCGATGGCTGCTGGGGGCCCGGGGCCAAACACACGCCCAGCAGGAACCTGTCTGAGCTGCAGCCGCTGGTCCTCTGAGTGTCTGGGTGTGTTTATAACAAACAGGAGTTGGACTCTGGCAAGGTGGAGTGGAGACAGCTGGCTTCCCAGCATGCATTGCTGATCAACAGCCACAGGAGTGAGCACAGAGCAGCATCAGCCAGAACCTTCCTCTGACTCCCAACTAGACACAATCGGTGAAGCTGTTTCATTATTGAAAATAATGAAACAGTGAAACAATAATGAAATATTGAAAATAATGAAACTCCACTAATTGTTTGAGACAGACGCGCCCGCAGTGTAATTATTATGATGTGAGCAAAACTGATGATGCTGAGCTAAAGATCAGTCAGACATCTTCTCTAAATGCACAGCAGTAAAAAATGACTTTCTACATGAGGCCCTGAATCAGGGCTGCAATTAACGATTATTTTACGATTCAATAATCTTTCGATTTTTTTTTCTTTGATTAATCGATTTATAATCGGATAGAAAAAGGTTCCGTAAAGAACATTTTTATGAAGGTACACTATATGAAACTGAACCTTTTCCACCTGAGTAGTTCTGGGCGGCGCCCTAAGGAAACTACATCATGGTGGTGTCCTTCGCAGCCGAAATAAAGCGCCAAACGCCAGCGTTCTTTGTCAGGCGTGAACCATTTGTACTGAAACTGAAATAAAGATTGATTGGATAGCACATATTGACAGATGAAAACTTTTTTTCTTAAATGCAATGTATATATAAATATATATACACACATTTAAAAAAAAATTTTTGTTATATAATTGCTGATGTAAGTGGGTTACTCTGTCATCAAATGGCATATTGCAGAGTCTCTATGCTCCAATTAACGATTCTTACTGAATTGGTTTCAACAATCTTGAGGCACGTCTGACCTTAATGTGGACAAGCATCAAAAATGAAGCAGCAGGAGCTTTTTTCCTGCTGTGTTATGAACCTGTCACATCTTAACGATTTAGCCAGCATATGCCTTATGTCCCAGAATCTTCTAAAACGCTGGCATACGCTGAACTCCAAGTATTTTTTCCATTTCGGGCGACATACATAGAGTATTCATAACGAGTCCAGAGCGTATGTCCAATGACAGCCTAACTTATGCGTAACGCACGGCAGCGTAATGCTGATAAAATACGAAGCATCAGTTAAAGCAGCTCCCCTCAGCAGCTCCACCGGAGGCACCCGGTCTGCATAAACAGATTTCTATGATTGCGGTATTAATGTAGCTGCTGTTTACCGCCCGCCCAAAAATAAAAAATAATTAAAAATAAAAAAGAAAGAAGGTTTGCAGTCGCAGCAGATTCCGCAACATTTCTGCTAGGAAGTTTGTTGGTGGTGGGCGTGAACGCAGGGAGGATCCATCACTCACCTTCTGGCTCACCCTATGATGGCGATGAGCCATTATACATTATACAGTATAACGCCATTATACAGTAGTTGGCAGTTAGAAACACGTTCAGCGCTCGTCTGGAACACGTCAGATACGTTGATATGCGTTGGGGAGAAGTTCTGGATTAGTTACGCAGAATCAACTCATAGGTTTTGGATAAGCTAGACGCCACGACTCATGAGTAACGTATGTCAACGATTGGACAACCTACCTGTAATTTATGGCCCATGTAAGCCATACGCCATATGTTGACGTGTGCCAGCGTTTTCTAACGTGTTTCAGCGTGCTCATAACTTATCCAACGTATGCCAACATTTTTGCCATATTTTCCGTATGTCAGGGATACGCTGATCTACATCGTCAAGATGTGACAGAGGCGTTAGGTGTGAACATAGCATTACCCTTTCTGAGTATTTG